CCTGTCTTGTGCCCATTTTTTAATTGGATTACTTGTCTTTTCCTTGTAGAGGTGTTACAATTTCCTACAGATTTTAGAAATTAATCCCTTGTCTGATATGTCATTGCAAAAGATTTTTCCCATTCTGTGGGCTCCTTTTTTACTCTTTTGGTGAAATCCTTTGATGCACATAAGTTTCTAATTTTTAGACTGTCCCAATCATCTATTTTGTCTTCTTTTGTTTGTGTAATTTTCACAATATTTGGTAGTCTGTGTGTGCCCTGGATTGGATTAGAGCCCTTAAATTTGTCCCTATGTTTTCATTGATGACCCTTATAATTCTGGGATTCACATTTAGGTCTTTAATCATTGCTGAGTTGGGTGTTGTATATGGAGTGAGGTAAAGGTCTTGTTTAAGTCTTTTGCATATTGACTTCCAGTTCTGCCAGCACCATCTGTTGAAGAGACTATGTCTTCCCCACTCAATGTACTTTGGCCCTTTGTCAAAGATAAGCTGGCTGTATGTGGATGGGTTAATTTCTGGATTCTCAATTCTGTTCCATTGATCTATAGATCTTTCATTGTACCCATACCAAGCTGTTTTGACCACTGTAGCCATGTAGTAAATTTTGAAATCAGGGAGTGAGAGACCTCCAACTTTGTTGTTCTTCTTAAGCAGTGCTTTGCTTATCCTGGGTCTCTCATCATTTGATTTGTTGATTGTGGCCTCCATGGGTGATGACTGTAGAGCTAAGTAAAATGAAATCCTTGACAACGTCAGTCTTTTCTCCATTTATCATGATATAGCTATTTGATCCAGTTGTGAGATGTTTTTTTTTTCTTTTTGTTGAGATTTAATATTGAAAGCTGTATTTTTTTTTTTTTTATCATTATCAACAAATGCTTCAAGTCCTCTTCACTTTCGACAAGCAAGGTTGTGTCATCTGAATATTGAAAGTGGTTAATGAGTCTCCCTTCAATTATGATGCTTTACTCTTCTTCATATAGTAGAGCTTCACAAATTATTTGTTCAACATGCATATTAAATAAGTATATTGAAATGTGCTGTGGGTTAATGTGCTGGATTGCAAAATTGGTTTGACCTGCAAGGTTAGCAGTTCAAGCTCACCAGCTTCTCCTCAGAAACCTTATACAGAGACACTATGGGTCAGAACCGACTCAATGGCACTTAACAACAACAACAACATTGAAATGATACAACCCTGATACATGTCTTTCCTGGACTTAAACCATGTATTAACCCCATGTTCTTCTGTTGTAATGACTACCTCTTGTTCTATGTACAGCTTCCTCATAAGCACAATTAAGTGCACTGGAATTCCCTTTCTTGCAATGCTTTCTGTAGTTTTTATGAGCCACACAGTCTCATGTCTTTGCAGAGTCAGTAAAGCACAGATAAACATATTTGTAGTCTCTTCTTTCAGCCACAATCCATCCGACGTCAGCAATGATATCCCTCATTCCACATCCTCTTCTGAATCTGGCTCGAATTTTTGGCAGCTCCCTGTTGATGTACTGTGCAACCAGTTTTGAATTATCTTCTGTAATATTTTACTTGGGTCTGATATTAATGATATTGTTCAACAATTTCCATAATCTGTTGGAATGGGTACAAATAGGAATCTCTTCCAGTTAGTTGGCCAGGTAGCTGTCTTCCAAATTTCTTGGCATAGACTAGTGAGTGCTTCCAACACTGGTTCAGTTGGTTGAAACATTTCAATTGATATTCTGTCTATTTTTGGAGCCTTGTTTTTCACCAGTGTCTTCTGTTTAGTTTGGATTTCTTTCTTCATTATCATCGGTTCTCAATGATACGCCATCTCCCAAAATAGCTGACTGTTGACCAATTTTTTTAGAAGAGTAACTCTGTATTCCTTCCATTATGTTTTGATGTTCCTGTGCCATTCGATGTTTTTCCCATAAAATCCTTCAATATTTTAACTTGAACCTTGAACTTTTTTCCTTCAGTTCATTCAGCTTGAGAAATGCCAAGCATACTCTTCCCTTTTGGTTTTCTAGCTCCAGGCCTTTACACATTTCATTATCAGATTTCAGTTTGTCTTTTGAAGCTGCTTTCTGTAATATTTTTGTTCAGCTCTTTTTGTTCATTATTTCTTCCATTTGTTTAGCTACTCTACATTGAAGAGCAAGTTTCAGAGTCTTTTCTGACATCCATTTTGCTTGTTCTTTTTTTTATTCTGCTAGTATTTGCAATACAAGTGGAATAGCTTTTAGCATCACATCAACACACAAGTCACCACAGTACAATGAACACAGGCAAGTGGTGGTTGTTAGCATTACCACCCCGCCCCCCAGTCCTCAGTGCCATGAGTGAACTTGGACTCAAAGCAACACTAGAGTACAAAGTGCAACTGCTCCTTAGGGTTTCCAATTCGGCATCTTTACAGGAGCAGACAGAGCAAGCAACTGGTGAGTTTGAACCACCAACCTTGAGATTAACAGCCCAATGCTTACTCCACAGCACTACTAGAGCTCCTTGTTGTTAGCATTGTTGTCATTGTGTTTCCAACCCATAGTGACCCTGTATAAGGTTTCTGAGGAGCAGCTGGTGAACTTGAACCACCGACCTTGCGATTTAAACCGACTGCAGTCCAGCACATTAACCCGCAGCACCACACCTGGACTCCTGTTGCTAGTATACGGGGACCAGAAGTCTTCGGTTATTTTCCAGTCCTCTCTGCTGACTTGTCTGCGGAGGATCAACAGGCCACTTTATTATTCTATGCTTTTGTTTTTTCTGTGACCAACACAAGATCATATTGTTATTTTGTTTGTGATTTCCCAAAATAAGTCAGAAAATATATTTAGATATCATTTTTTAAACTTTACCCCAGATGGAAAGGTTCTCTTCCCAAGCAAATGTCATGAATGTGAATGCATTAAGAGAACCAAGTCCGAATGTATACTATCCTGTTTTATATAATTATTAAAGGTGAATTTTGAAAAGGAATTACTTTTGACCTTTTGCCTACTTTTCTCAGTATGAGGGAATTTTGAATTAATTTCATGCCCCGTCTTTTGGAAACACCAGGAAGATCTCTGTAGACTGTTACATCCATTTCATTCCATATATCCAAACAAAAAGCTATTCCAAGGAAAATACTTGCGCTCTTGGAAATGTGGTGGTAACTTTTTGCCTATCACCAAAGCTAAGCATTTGAGCAAGAATAGAAGAAAAAGAGTCATCTTTTCTCTTTCCACATGTCTATATTTATGGTCTTTATTTTCATTCCTTTCCCCCAATCCAGTAAAGATGAACAAAAGGAAAAAACAAACCTACTTCTTCATGCCAAAAAATGGCTCTTGTTTTTTTGATTAGTTCTAATGGGAATGTGTTTTGCTTGATGATTGGGAGCAACAGTAATCCACTTGCTTATATCCAGAGTGACTGTTTTTATCTGATAGCTGTTTGTTTACAGCAGTAGTTAGTAATTTGCAAGGACAGTCCTGTCAAAGCCATTGCCTTTAATGAAACACAAATGCCTCTTGGAAGAAAGATGACAGATTTAGCCCAGCGACTTGCAAAACTTTAAAAGCAATCCCTTGTCAAACACGTGAGAAACCACTCTTCCCTCTCTATGACTTGAGGGAAAAAAATGAGAAACTATCTTATGCCAGATGGAGATTGCTTGCTAGTAAAATAGGCTCTGGCTGACTCAGCCCTGTGCCTTTGTATTCCTTTTGCAAAACCCACAAAGAACACATTTGGGGCCACTTTTCAGAGCTGGCAAAGTCTCTGCTTTTAAAGGAAATTATATAGACAGAGAAAGCTGCAATCGATGAACATCTAGGAATCCCCAGGGTCCAGAGATGGGATACATAAGTCTTGCATTCTAGGGCATCACTTAGGAGCTGGCCTGGACCCAAGAGTCATCCCAATAGTTGCCAGATTTGATTATTTGATTAAATTTGGTTAAAACAAAAACAAGGTGGGGAAAGTTTTTCTTTTCTTGTTGACTAATCCTCTTCTAAAAAAAAAAAAAAAGGAGTTTCTCCCTTAGTTGCTCATTTTGTTAGATTTAGCAAAGAAGCTGGAAATTATAAAAACATGTTTCATGATGATAAAGTAATTCCTAAATTTCAAATCACTGTAGATATAAAGGATTTAATCTCTCATTTTTAGTCCAGCACCTTTGTCTATGTAAAGAAAACAAAAATCCTCACCACTGGACCAATAAACAACATTCTTATCAACAGAGAAAAGATTGAAGTTGTCAAGGACTTCATTCTTCTTGGAACAACTATCAAAACTCATGGAAACAGCAGTCAAGAAATCAAATGACATATTGCATTAGGCAAATCTGCTGCACAAGACCTTTTTAAAGTGTTGAAGAACAAAGATGTCAGCTTGAGGACTAAGGTGCGCCTGACCCAAATCATGGTATTTTCAATAACCTCATATGCATGTGAAAGCTGGACAGTGAATAAGGAAGACCATAGATGAATTGATGCTTTTGAATTATGGTGTTGGAGGAGAACATTGAAAGTGCCATGGACTGCCAAAAGAATCAATAGATCCGTTTTGGAAGAAGTGCAGCCATAGTGCTCCTTGGAGGCCAAGATGGCCAAACTTTCTAGGGTTGTTGTAAAGAAGATTTAAACATGAAACTAATACTCAGATTAGTTGATTTTTAAGATTTCCTGGATAACCTTTAAGAGTCTATGAATCATTAATCAAAACTAAGCTCCCCTTTCCTTTCTTTGAATTACCTTGATTTGGAATATTTTTCAGTCTTTTCAGATAATACGTGTTGTCTATTTAGCTTTCTTTGCCTTATGTTCAGGAAACACTAACCACCTTTGTTATTGTTCTGTTTGATATCTTTAGGTGTCTGAACATGCACAGTTAAGTTGGATCCTTACCTGCATGGTCAGGCTACCCCGCCTGCAACACTTACACCAATGGAAGGTAAATGCCAATGGTCTGATTAATAAACAAAAAGGAATGCTCTTCATTATGTTTCAGTATTCAATGTTCACTATAGGAATGCAAGTTCCTATGTTTCCCTTTCTGTTTAGTTCTGTGCTGGGCCTTGGGAATCCTAAACTTATGGTCCTTCCGTGTCTGATACTCACTAGTGGTCTAGAACAGTGCCTTTTACCTCTCTGCTTCCAGTGATAGGACAGAAAGTAAAAGGGTCCTCCAAGACTCCTCCCATTTAAAAATCCAACTTAAAAAATGTGTTGATCTATGCATGGTTGAAGCTGTTATCTTTTAATAAACTTATTAGCGACTTTGAACCTACCATGTGCTAATTTACAGGTAATCCCCAGTTTCTGGATTACTAGCTCCTGAAGTTGCCTCTTATCTCCACTGGAATTAACTGGCAGTGAGGCAAGACTCTCTTCACTGTGGGGAGAGACAACATATTTTCTTTAGCATTTAAACAAGTTGAGTCCAGGCAACAAGTTTCAACCCACAGAAATATTAAGGCTGTTCTTTTTCTAGGAAGGTCAGTTAAGAAAGATAAACTGGATAAATCATAGTGCTTTACTTTCATTTATTTTTGCAATTGGATAACCTGAGGGCAGGTTGTCCCTAAAAATGTTAACACTAATTTCAGTTCAAGCTTCTTTGGAGCATGTTTTTAGAACGACTGGTTTCCTGAAAAGCTTTAGAAGCCTTCACTTATGCTGCTGAGAGACACAAATGGAGCCTGGAAGAGGCAGCACCTAAAGGAGAGTCATGCTGTAGGGTCATTACTTGCTAATAATTAAAAGCAAAATTTTGTAATCTCTACCATATTTTGGTTTTAGGCAAGACTTTCCATTTTGTCATGATACTCAAACACTAAGTTTAATGCTGAAACCCTTCCTTATAAGATCTGAATGCCAATGTAATGACATCTGCTTGTACCTATAAGTGGTGTCTAAGGGCCTCCTGATAGATAAAACATTACTAATGAGTACACTGATGTTCTGAGAAGCCTTCCCACTAGTGCAGGATTTGGTATTTGTGGAAAAGACATGTATTTCAAGTCCCAGTCTCATCCTTGGTCAAGGTATGCCTTGTAGGGTGATTTCCTCATTAACAAGTACTAGTGATGTCTTCTGGAAGTCTTACACAAGGGAGATGCTAGAGACCTACTGGTCAGTTCCCATGAGACTTGTAGTCTGTTTAGGAAAAGACAGTAAGAAAAAGTGTGAGAAGTGCTCTGAGTGAAGAAGTCCAGACTATGACAGAATCTAATGAAGAGCATTTAGCTTGGTTCTGATTGGAGCAGGAACAGTAGAGAAGGACCGTAGAGTTATTTTGAGTTAGTAAGCTAGCACCATATGCAAAACATCTGAGACTTACAGTGTTGTTGTTAAGTGCTGTTGCATCGGTTCAACTCATAGTGACCCTATGTGTGGTTTCAGAGAATGTCTGGTAGATTTGAACTGCCGACCTTGTGGTTAATAGCCCAGTGCTTATCCTACAGCACCACAACAGGGCTCAAGGAATATACTAGGCACTCACTAAATATTAGCGTTCTCCACATCTCCTCTCTTCCCTTGTAATTTCAAGATCCTGTTGTCTAATATTTAAAGAGTATAAATGTAACATGGTAACAGTTTTAAGTTGGATTCTTTTCCCATTTGATTATTTCAAATTACGTTTTCTTGGTCTTTGTTGTTGTTGTTGTTGTTAAGTGCTGTCAAGCTGGTTCTGACTCACAGCCACCTTGTATAGGGTTTCTGTGGAGCTGCTGGTGGGTTTGAATCACCAACCTTGTGGTTAATAGTCCAGTGCTTATCCTGCAGCTCCACAACAACCATTATCATGGTTGATGTAATAAGGAAACATACTTATGACATTGTATGTTGGAACTTTAAAATATCCTTTGAATGGCTTATAACATCAGTTGTTGTTAGTCAGAAACTACTTGGGTTATAATCAGAAAACTCACATTTGTAACTAAATTTTCGGACATTGAAATTAAGATGGTTAAAGAGAGATGCTGTTGCTTTTTCAGACTCAGCCTCAAAGAATATGTCTGCAGGTTGGTGGGTAAAACCTGAATTAGGAGCTCATGAGTTGAGTCCTGGGAATTGTGAAAGTTTATAAAATCAGTTGTTTTGCTCACTTAGAAGCAGTCAAACTTCAGAATAGTAATTCATACTAACTAAGCGATCAGAATTAGCTACTCATCAAGATATCTGTTTTTCTTTTATAAAAGATGTTATACCCAACCTTAGAAGCTTTTACCAGTGTGAATTGCACACAATATTTCCATCTAATAAGTAGTTCTTCTCAGAAAATCAAGAATCCTGGTAGCATGGTGGATTATGAGTAGGGTTGGTAACCACAAGGTCAAAAGTTTGAATCTACCAGCTACTTTGCAGCAGAAAAATGAGGCTTTCTGCTCTTGTAAAGATTCACAGCCTTGGAAGCCCAATACAGAGTCATTATAAGTCAGAACCGACTTGACAGCACTTAAAACAGCAACTTCATCCACTCAGGAAATATTTTAATCTATACAACCTGTACTGTACATTGTAATTACTTTACCCTTTTGGTTTTAGCTTTCTTGATCAGTTAAACATCAAGATAGGGAATTATGATAGCTTAGATTACAATTTCTCTGACATTTGTGTCTTTTTTTAAAATACCATGATTTGGGGGTTTTGTTTTGTTTTTAAAAGGAGATTTTAATTGAATGTTCAGTTTTATCAGTAGCACATGTGTGAGACTTTTCTGGGAGGCTTCCGCTGATAAACAACATGGCTTTTGATGTTAATTCATGTTAATGTCTAATAGGTGATATTTTATGACCTCATCTGTGAAATCCAGAATACGTCTGATTTAGAACCTGGGAATCCTTTATTCCCTTATTCTTTTAATAAAAGAGAGAGAATGGCGGTGCAGACTCCTGTAATGGGGCAGTGGAGAAATGGAGTCGCCTTGCTCCAGCCTGAGCCTGGGGAATGAAGAACAGCCCATTAGAGAAAGGTTCCACAACCACCAGCTGCCTACGAGTCAGTTGTGACTCATGGCAACCGCATGTATGTCAGAATAGAACTGTGCCTACTAGTTTTTCAATGTCTGATTTTATTTTGGAAATAGACCACCATTCTTTAAAGGTACCACTGAGTAAGTTGAACTGCTAACCTTTCAGTTAGCAGACATGCACTTTATCCATTTACATTAATCAGGAACTCCTGGTGGTGGTAATGATGTGCCACTGAGTCAGCTTCAACTCATAGCGACCCTGTATAGGGTTTCCAAGGCTGTAAATCTTTACAGGAGCAGAAAGCCTTATCTTTCTCCCATGGAGTGACTGGTAGATTCAAACTGTTGACCTTGTGGTTAGCAAACCAGCTCATAATCCACTACACTACCAGGGTTCCTAGAGGATGGTTAAAGCTATTACATTAACGGAGATACACAGTTTTCTTCAGATCAAGTTCTGCTTGCTTTCAAATGGTTTTAGTTTAGTAGTATACTTAGCATGTCTGATTTTTTCCTCTCCTCTTTTTTTAACTGCTTCTCAACCTCCACCCCAGGCAAAGACTGCCAAGCAGAAACATGACGGAACTGTGGGCCTGCTCACATACCCAGTACTTCAGGCAGCTGACATTCTGCTATACAGGTAAGGAGCAGAGCTTATCCACAGCTCTGTATGTATTCATGAGCATGAGAGACTGTTGGAACCTGTCCAAAAACGATTTGGCTCATGGGAACGTGGGGCACCGAGGGATCAGAGAAGTGACTCCGTTTGTATCTATTTCCCAGCAGTGTTAGGTGCCATCTTGTTGGCTCTGACTCATAACAACCCTGTACACAACAGAATGAAGCACTGCCTAGTCTTGTACCATCTTCACAGTTGTTGCTATGTTTGAGCTCGTTGCTGCTGCCACTGTACCAGTCCGTCTCATTGAGGGTCTTCCTCCTTATCACTGACTCTCTGCTGTTTTCAAGTATGATGTCTTCTCCAGGAACTGGCTCGTCCTGATAACATATCTAAAGTACATGAGATGACGTCTTGACATCCTAAATGATAGGGATATGTTTCAGTGTGAAAGTAATGTTGAGAGCAACCCTTAAATAGCATGTGCTATCTGTTCGACACATTATAAATGCTTTACATGTTTTAGCCCACTTAATCCTCCCAACAACTTTATTCAATAAGCTCACCAGCTGCTCCTTGAAAACCCCATACAAGGTTGCTATGGGTCGGAACCGACTCGACGGTACTTAACAACAACAACAACAACATAGTATTATTGTAGTGATCACTGTGCCTTTGTATTATAAGCACTGGAGTGTGAGCCATAAGGTCAGCAGTTCGAGCCCACTAGCTACTCTACTGGAGAAAGATGAGGCTTTCTGTTCCTGCAAAGATTTACAGCCTCAGAAACCCTATTCTGAGTCATTGTGAGTCAGAATTAACTCCACAGCATTAAACAACAATAGTATTATACAATAGTAATATTACGCTGTGCCCAAGATCATGTAGCTAGCAAGGCTTGGAGTCAGAATCTAAGTCCAGGAAGTTTGGTTACAGGATCTGAGCTCTTAACCACTATTCCATATATGTTGTTGTTGTTGTTAAGTGCCATTGAGTTGGTTCAGAACCACAGTGACCCTGTATATTGTTTCTGAGGAGCAGCTGGTAAGCTTGAACTGCTGACCTTACAGTTCAAACTGACTTTGCAGTCCAGTGGACTAACAGCGCCACAACAGAACTCCACGCTATATATCCCCTAGTAATAATTCAAATGAACCCTGGTGGTATAATGGTTAAAACACCCAACTGCTAAACAGAAGGTTGATGGTTCAAACCCAGCCAGCCACACCAGCGGAAGAAATATGTGGCAGTCTTATAAACCCTGTGGGACATTCTGCTCTAGCCTATAGGCATTCTCTTCTGTTTCTATGAGTTAGAAGCAACTCAATAGCAATGGGTTTAGTAATAATGAAATTCCAAGCATTTTGTTGGGTTTTTGTTGGTTTTTTAAGAACAGCAAGTGTTTTCAATATTTTTTCTTATATAGTATCCTATGCAACTTACTACAGTTATAGAAATGTTCTGTTGCTGTGCTTTCCAATATGGTAGCCACTATCTACAAGAGGGAGTCCTGATGTGGCACTGTGGGTTAATGCGTCAGACTGCAAAACTGTTTGAACTACAAGGTCAGTGGTTCAAGCTTACCAGCTGCTCCTGAGAAACCCTATACAGGGTCAATATGGGTCGGAACTGAGTCGATGGCACTTAACAACAACAACAACAACATCAACAAGTGACTGTGAAGCACTTGAAATGTGGCTAGTGCAATGGAGGAACTGAATTTAAAATTGTAATGAACTTTAGTCAATTTAAATATAAATAGCCAAATATGGCTACTAATTGCCACATTGGAACTACAAATCAAGAAGTTTCTCAGCATGCTATAGAATCCCTGTAGCTATAATCCATCCAGACAGGTACTGTTGTTGTTGTTGTTAAGTGCCATCGAGTCGGTTCTGATCCATAGCGACCCTGTATAGGATTTCTGAGGAGCGGCTGGTGAGCTTGAACTGCCGACCTTGCAGTTCAAATGGCTTTGTAGTCTGGTGCATTAATCCACAGCACCACACCAGGACTCCAGACAGCTACTACTGCCATTGAAATGTTTTAAAGTAGACCACCAGAGGGTTAATAAATATTAACCCCTATGCTTTCTGCCGACCACGGCTTTTGGACCTCATCCTTCTTCGTATTTTTCCCTCTCTTCCTATATTGGCCTTCCTAGACCTTGTCTGTTGTTGTAGAACTAAACTCTCCCAATCAGAAGGCAGCTCATAACCTAAGCCTTGGTGCTATAAAAGCTTCTGAGGAAAAAGAGAAATGCCACAAGTCTTTTTTCATCCTTTTCCCCTAAAGCTGTGGCTCAACAAGAATAATTCTTCACAGGAGGAACTGGAAATCTTTACATTTAGAATGCTGATAGCATTCTAACATTTGCACCTCACGGCATGGCCTCAAAACCCTCTGCAGTTATGATGGAAATAGCAGAGTAGTGTTTAGTTTCCCAAATGAGGTGTTCCCATGAGTACATGCACGTTATCGTAAACATTGATTAAAACTTATATGTAAGGGTTATGTTTCTATTTGTTCTCTTAACTTGAATACTGGACGTTTGATACTATTATTTGCCATTGCGTTGATTACAAGTCATAGTGACGTTACAGGACAGAGGAGACTGCCCAATTAAGTTTCCTAGGCTGTAAATCTTTCCAGAAACAGATCGTCAGGTCCTCTCTCCCATGAAGCCACTGGTTGGTGCAAAGTTTATACCTTCTGGTTAGCAGCCTGGTACTTAGCCATTGTGCCACCGAAGCTGCTGGATTCGTGATAGCCTTTAGTATTTGTAGGTGACTTTCGACTACACGGTTGTGATGAGTCAGAATCCATTCAATGGCAATGCGTTTTTCACTTCTGGGAAGTCTGAGAACACTTTCCTTCAAGATACAGCAAACAAAAGTAATAAAAGTCTAAAAATACATTTCCTAGAAAAGTAGTGTATTTACTTAGAAAGCAAACCAATGAAAAACGTTGATTTTCTCAACAGTAAAATAGGAATATTAATTACCTTGCACAGAATTGTTCAAGGATTGAAATGAAATGCTTACAGTGCTTGTGACTAAGAACTGGACTTTGGTTATGATTGATGATACTGATATCTTCAGTGATTATAAACTTACATTTAATTATGTTTTAAAGCCTTCTTCATAGAATCAAAGGCTGAGATTTTTCAGCCTCAGACTATGGAAGCACATGAACATAGTCAAAATCTCTGAACTGTTCAAGATCCTCTGAGCTCAGGGCTGTAAACTTTAACAAGAATGACCCCCTTCTTCAAGGATTACTGTGAAACAGAGAGTAGGAAGGAACAGTTTAAAAAGCCTCAACTTCAGTTCTCTTGCTTTCTATCTGAAGTCCTGTGAAGTTAAGCAGCTTGCTGGTCAGTGGTCAGTGAGCATCAATGTATGATCATGGGTTTCCTAAATATGGGGCTGATCTTCCTAAGGAGCCAGTAGTCAAATTAGGAAGTAAGATATTCACTTGAGACAATCAGAATGTAACATCATATACACCAAAGAAATGATATAAGTATTTTTATCAATTGCCCCAAATACCTGATATCAGTGGTAGGTGCAACTGGTAGAATGATCAAATAGTATTCATCCTTTCATCTATAGAATGAGTTACAGGGACACAACTCAGAGGGTTATATGTGAATTATGTATGAAGTTTATCACTTAGTATACTCAACTCAAAATTTTTAACTACATAGGAGGAATATATTTTAAAAAGCCAACATAAGCCGAAATAGCTTGTTGTTTTTGTTGTTAGGTGCCATCGAGTTTGTACCAACC